GAAGGAAGATATTAACTCCATTCACACAATTTCACAGCTGCCTTTTGAAGTACGTACAACTGCAAGTTAGGGCCGTTAATAAAGTCAAAGAGCTGTGCACACATTTAAGGGCTGGGAAGCGAAAAGGGCAGGAGAGAATTTGCACACTTGGAGTAGCTGCTCCATCCGGCAGGTGTGCGAACCTCTCCTCCGTGTACTTCCCAGTCCTTCGATCTGCCCAAATCCCACTTCTGCTTGCTTCCCCGTCACTAAATTTGCATACTCTCTGTTTACTTCCCAGTCTCCCCAAACTGTACAAATATTCCTGACACATCAGAGAAACACGTCTGGAAATCCCTGAATAGGCTGCACGGGGGAATAACAAGATCCAGCGGTGCGTTGAACAAACGGGGGGGGTGTTCGCGGGGTTCTGCCCTCTGTGATTGTGCTGATTATTGTTTTAATAATTGAGGTTTTACATTCTAATTGTATATTTTGTAAGCCGTACTGAGCGCTCAGTGGAAGGACGTGATATAAATGCTTGTAATAAATACGCAGGCAACAATACGTGCGCGTACCTGCCCTTTGTGCTCTGAGCAGGGCACACCTGAGGACCTTTCGGCAGCTCGACGGGACGCAATTCATGTCGCGAGCTTCTGGGCTACATATGTCTAATTTGTACACGTTCCAATTTCATCCTTTAAAATTTAAATCTCTTGTTTTATAATCTCTAAGATAACGTGTTTTATAATACGCCTTATTTTAATTGCGATGCTTCTGCCTCGAAGAAAGAGAGAGAGAGAAACAAGTAAACAGGGGAGGGCAGATTAGGATAGCCCAAGTGGGCGCTTGCCCCGCCGCCCCCGCCGTCCTTCTTGCTGCCCCGGGGCGGCGAGCACGCGGGCGGCGCTCTGGAGGAAGCCGCTGGAAGGGGAAGGGGGCAGCCGGGCCTTTCTGGAGAGCCGGGGAGGCCGAGGGCGCCGGGGAGGGCGGTTCCCACGCGAGGCTGGGAGGGTGGCCCCGCCCGGGGAAGGGCTGGCTCCTCCGCCCCGCTTCCCCCATCGTTAGCTGTGACACACGAGGAGACCGTCAGGCGAGACGTGGGGGTTGCGGAAAGACCGGCAGCGAGGACGACGCGGAGAGCGGCGGCGCGACTGCGCCCCTGAGACCGCGCTGCTGTTTTGGAAGCTGGATCGCATCCTTAGTCGACAGCCACAGGCGGCGGCCCCAGCGCAGCGCAGCGCCGGCCGGCCTTCCCTTTCCGGGCCGGGCTCTCGCTGCTTCTGGCCCCCAGTCGGGGGACGCAGCCAGCCCTGCGCGGGAGCCTGGCTCCCGGGCCCTCGGCCACGAACGCTGAGCCGCCCGGGCCCGGCGGGAATCTTGCTGGACGAGCCTCGCACCGTCTTCCGCGGCCCTCGCCCGGGTGGGTAGTTGCGTTTTGTGGACTGGCCCTTCCTCCTCAACCCCGATGTTCGCGAGAAGACAACTGTCGGCCCACATGCGGGCCCACATGCGAGCGAGATGGCCCCTGCTCGACCCGGGCTTCTCGAGGGCGCTTCCAGTCCGCCGGGGGAACCTTTGCGCTCATGGCAGGGAAAGCGCAGCCCGTTATCCCCCGAAGCACGACGACTCTGGTCCTGCTCGCTGGGGGTGCCGTTTAACCCCAATAATTTTAGGTCGTGCCGGCCATACAGAGCACCCAACTGCGTGAGGGGCGCAACGCGCTCGGGCCGTGCCGGCGCAGGTGCTGAGCGTGTGGCCCCCCGCATCGCTTTTAGAGGGAGGTTTTTCCGGAAGGCAGCACCGTAATGGGGGGGGGGGTCTTGGTACGGAGCCACGATCGTCTACCTTTTAAGGTCCCAAGGAGCATTTTTCAGGCAAAGACACGCTAATTGCACGAGGTGTTGTCTCGTCAAGGAATCGCGAAGAACTGGGAAGGATGCGCAGGGGTTTCAACCATTATTGGAATAACAATTGTCTTTGTGACACGGTGTCTGCGGAAGAATTAACGGAGCAGATCAGGGCACAGAGGCAAGTGGAAGAATCCAGGTGTCTGTACCATTTGGTAAAAGATCGCCGCCTTTACTGACAAACAAAGCAGCCCATGTGCCGCGGACAGATACAAAGGGACGCGCTTCGCTGCAGGTCCGGGCAAACCTCCAGGCGTGGGGGGGGGCGCGGCTTCCCGAGGGTCGCTGTGCGCAAAGCTACGTGGCCGAGGCCGGGCATTCCCTTCGCAGGCGAAGGCGGCAGGCGGCTGAGGGAGACAATGGCTATCAATCGCGGCCGCTCCAGGCCCTTCCTCCCAGCACCGGCAGTAAAGGGATCGGGCGCCAAAGAGCGGAGGGGCTGCGTGACCTGTTTGAGAGTCATTTCCCCATAATACTTCTGGTCAATGACCATTTCCCAGTATGTGCACATTAAAAGCTATATTGATAAGGGTGTCAATACAAAGATGAACAGGTCATTGGCGTCTTTTGAGAGGTGCGCAACCTGCAGAAAACACGAGGAGGATCGGCAGTACTGCCAGGGCTGCAGCTTCAGCAGAGGGCCAGAAGCACGGCCAGAAGCACGGCTGACTCAGTAAGACTGAACTAGGCCAGAGCAGGTAGAGGCAGAAGCGCCACATAACATGCGAAGCGATGCACAGAAGCCGTCCTTTCTAAACATGTAACATATCTGATATGCTTGTGTGTTAGAAATAAGGAAACACGCTGACATCCTTTTTGGGATGAAAGAGCAGCTTATACAATTTAAAAATAAAAAATCACCGTGAAACAGCAAACAACACATAATGTTTAGTTTGTCTTCTGAAAAGAGTAACTTCCTTCTCTGAGAAGGGCTGTCCAGCACCGTGTGTGGTCCATGCATTATTGTAAACGGGTTAGCAAAGGTCTGGTTAACTCTGCCTGCTGCTTTTAGGAGGAGAGTTTGAAGACTCAAAGAAAAAGGGGACGGGGTGCACCCTAGACCTTGCTCGCTGAGTTGGGCAGCGTGGCCACGGTCAAAGAGTGGGCGAACTCCCTGTAGCTCGCTTGCCATGGACTGATCACTACCTGGTGGAGTTTAGACTCACTGGTAGTAGAACTCTGGCCGGGCTGGAGGCCGGGCCAAGGAAGAGCATCCGCTCCAGGAGGAGGGTGGCCCCAAGCGGTTTCCTTGAGGCTGTTGGGGATGTTCCTGTTGTCAGGAGCAACCCCCGCTCAGTGCAGGACCCCTGGCTGAACCAACCCTCTCAGTGGCATGTTGAAGGCCTCCAGGGTGGGAGAGTCCCCCACCTCCCTGGGTCATCCATGGCATTGTCATACTGCTTTCTCGGTCAGCTGTTCTGCTGGAATCTGGCTTCCTGGAACTTGAGCCTGTGATTCAGTGCCCTGCAGGCTGGGTTGGTCGGGAGGAGGTCCCCCCCTTCCTCTCTGGGACAGCCCTTCCCATACTTAGAACATAGAAACAGCAAGTTGGAAGGGGCCTCCTGGGCCATCTAGTCTGACCCCTGGCTCCAGCCGGCTCAGGTCATGACATGTGTACCACGTGCATGTCCGCCTATCCTTGAACACCCTCACCAATGGGGCTCCAACCACCTCCCATGGAAGCCCATCCCATACCCCAGAGGTCTTAACCAGGGCCGTCTAAACGCATGGGCCAGGTGGGCGTTTGCCCATGGGCCTCATACTGTGTATGTTAACCCTTGGAAAATTGGAAAACTTGCAAAATTAACAGTAGTTGTCATTGTCGTAGGGGCCCCAATACACTGCTTTGCCCGGGGCCCATAATGCGGTTAAGACGGCCATGGTCTTAACTGCCAGGAAGTGCTTCCTGGCATCCACCATAAATCTGGGTTCCCCGAGCTTTGCTCTATTGGAACATGCCCTGCCCTCCTCTGCAGGGGGAAACAAGTCTCATGTAGGGTGCCCCCTAGCTCCCCTCAGTCTTCCCTCCTGCAAGCTAAAGATGCCCAGTTCTTTCAGTCTCTCCTCTCGGGGCTTCCTTTCCAGTCCCAGATCATCCTTGGTGACCTCCTCTGAGCCCTTTCCAGCTTGTCAGCGTCTTTCTTCGATGGTGGTGCCCACAAGTGGACACAGGAGTCCAGACGAAGACCGACCAGTGCTGAGCAAAGGGAAACACGTACTTCGCAGGACTGGAAGTGATACTTCTATTAATGCAGCTTAAGATAGCATCTGCCCTTTTGCAGCCTCATCACATTGTTGACCAATATTCAGCTTGTGATCTATAAGAATTCCACTGGCTCCCTCGGTTTATTGGCCCTCATCCAGTCCATCACCGGGTCCAGGCACTGATTCAGAACGGCCACTGCCTCACCTGGATTTGATGAGAAGAGGTAGAGCTGAGCGTCACCTGTGTATCGGGGACACTGCAGCCCACACGCCTGGATGATCTCTCCCAGCAATGTCGTGTCGGTGTCACAGAGCCCGGCCTCGGCAAGGAACAGCAGTCCCCAGCACCACCATCTGGCACTGGCCGGTCAAGTGGGAGCAGAAGCGCTCCCAGCCCCACCAGCCTGTCCAGGACACCATGCTGGATGAGGTCCAGAGGATCCACACTCCTCTCAGCAAAAGTCATCCAAGGCAGTTTCCGTTCCAAAACCAGACCTGAAACCCAAGAAAGATGCAGAAAAATGTGAAAAGTCCAAAGGAGTGCAACAAAAATGACCCGGAGACTGGAAACAAAGCCCCGTGAGGAGGGATTAAAAGAGAGAGGCACGTTTAGCCTTGAGAAGACGGCGCGGGAATATGAAATGTTACGTTGTTATTCGCGAAGTCGGGCCCGACCGATCGCGACCCCGTGGACAACATTCACACAGGAGCGATCG